ATGTGTTCACACGACGTCGCAGCAAGCCCCGCCCCATTTAGCGCTAACCCCGGACTCCCACCGGCATAAGCCCTGGAGTTGTAATTCCTTTTTTAAAAAGGAATTAGGTTGCTGCCACCAGAGCCATTCCGGAGTGGGCTGAAGGATCCGTTCCGGAATGACTCCAGGCTTGTGTGTGAAAACGTCCGATGTAAGTGGCATGTGGTAGCTTCCAAGTCAGGGAGTCAGGGAAATTTGCTCAAGGTTTTAGTTCAAACAATCCAAGGTGCTGGACTCTACCTTGTAAATAGGATAGAAATTCAGTACTCCATTGACATGCAAGCCCCCAGCAGTCATTGAGGGGCGTTCAAAACAATCTGACCTGTTTTGTGTGGATGTGCTTGCTAATGGGGAAATTGAGTGGTTTTAGAGATCTTCTGCTAACAGAAGGAATTTCAAGCAAAGTAGTGTTGTTTCACGCAGTATAATGTTGCTGAACTGCTCATGTATGAAATCTTTGTCTTCAAATTGCTGGGAAGTAAGGTTTGGGAGAGTAGAAATACCATCTATATTTCCTTGAACAGTGTGCTTTCTTTTACAGAAAACCCCCCACAATCTCCTAGAATTTCCTCTCGGTTACAGAAGGAAACATTTAGTGTGGAATTGCTATGCCTGGCTCCTATATTTCTTCCTATATTTCACCTTTATTCCTCTCTCAGACAGTCTGGCTTTTTTTTCCAGAATGAAAGAATAGTGCAGTCTTGATACACCTTGAGTGCAACTGTCTTTTTTGTTTAGTTGTTAGAAAATAACTTGTGGTGGTTATTTTCTAACAACAAAACAAAACAAAACAAAAATAACCACAAATTATCTCATAACTATTTGAATTTTTTTTTTGGCAAAAACAGATGCATAATATTTTCATTGACATCCTCTAATAAAATGTTAGAAAGCAGATCAGACAGCAATTGAACCAGAGTTACAGATCTAATGTTTTTCTCCTCAAATGCATTTGCTATACTATACAGTATATTTTTAAACTTCTAATCTTTGCTGCCCTCTAATGTTTTCAATAAATAATTGCATTAACAAAAAAGTCTAATAACTAGCAATTGCTCTTCCATAAACCTTTGCCCTTAAACTCCATTTTTAAAGTACAGGCAAGTTAAACCAAGCAACACAGATTACATATTTGTGGGGAAGGCATAGTGCTTTTGATGGAGGAGATTCAGCCATAGCTCTCAAAGCACCTTGGCTGCATCCCCAATACAGAAATAATCACTTTAATTGCCATAGCTCAAGGCTATGAAATTCTGGGAACTGTAGTTTGTTCTGGCACCAGAACAAAGCTCTGGTGCCATAACAAACTACAGTTGCAGCTCTTGTGTGTGAGCAAAAGCAAGACAAGATCGTGCCTGGCCTCATTTTTAACAATCTAAAAACGATGACACAAAAGGAGATGGGGAGAGGAAAGGAAAACATGAAGACTTAAGCACAAGTTCTTAATGTTATGGCCAGATTTAGCACACTTGTAGTGTCATAATGCAGCTGGACAATCATAATAATCTAGAATAGAAATAGCTCAAAACAGAAAATGAAAATTTCTAACCCATAAGCTGAATGAGTTGCTATTTGCCAGCCCTTCAAATCCACACATCTACTTGGCATATTATGCATAAT